AGCACGTCTATTAAAAATATAAGAAATAAAAACCTTTAAAAATATGTTAAAATATTAAAGACTTCAGGTCATATTATGTAAGTTGCTTCTTGTGCTTTTCAGTAGCTGCAGAGAATTCAAGATGAATGTACCATCATTTATTTTAACACTCTCTTGTTGACAGATAGTTTGGGGTTTTGTTTGTTTGTTTTGCTTTTTTGCTTTTTGCTTGTATTAAAGCTGTGGGGTCACAGACATCCTCACACAGCTTTACATTCATGGGTGAGAGCTTCTTAGAAATTTCCAGGAAGAAGATATACCATTTTATTAATCTTTATTTGCACCAATGTTGAAGAGGCCAAATAGTCCTAAAGAGGTTTGTAATGAACTGAAATCCCTGCCCGCACCACATCTCTCCCTACTCACATCCCACTTACTGCTGGTTTAAATGTTCTTCCTGTTATATAAATAACATCTTTCTTTTTTTTAAAATCCCGCCCATTTTTTTTAAGTATAGCCAATTTAGAATGTCAGTTTCAGGTGTACAGCAAAGTGATTCAGTTATACATATACATACATATATATATTTTCAGATTCTTTTCCATTACAGCTCATTATAAGAAATTGATTATAGTTCCCTGTGCTATACAGTAGGTCCCTATTGCTTATTTTATATATAGTGGTGTGTATCTGACCAAGTCCATATTTCTAAATAATATCATTGTACTTTAAGTCTTGATTTATCACTTGGAGTCATTATCTACTGCCTTTCTGTTAAAAGAGGTAAGGATTCAACTCTCTCATACCCCCTTTCCTCTCTGGGTCCTGCCAAGGTGGAGTATGATAACAACCGGTTAAACAGTGCATCTATATTATGGCTGTAACTTTTACTCACGGCTGAGATGAGTGAGATGCCTGGAGAACTGTGATTGTGCTTCCTTTCTGGTCTGGCTGTTTATTTTGAAGTTTTCCTCATCTCTGTCTGCTTCTTAATTCATTTAAAAAAATTTTAATGGAGGCACTGGGGAGTGAACGCAGTACCTTGTGCATGTGAAGCATGCACTTTACCACTGAGCTATTAATTATCCCCCCACTCACTTTTATATGTGGTGAAATCTATCAGAAAATCTATCATTTTGAGTATTCTGGGGGCACCCTCTGAGCCTGCTCCCCTTAGGTCTGAGGAATCTTGGGATTTCTCCTCGTTATCCGTTTAAAATTGCACCATCTCCCTGGGCACTCCTGGAACCACACTTACCTGACTTTCTTTCTCCCCCACAACACTTATTACCTTCTAGCATACCATAAGACTTGCTTATTTATTAACTTGCTGCCCACCCTTCCTCCGCTGGTGGTATCAGAGTACCATGAGGGCAGAGATTTTTGTGTTTTGCTCGCCAATGAATTGCCAATGTCTAGCAGAGTGCTTGGCATGGAGGGGAGGCTTAATACAAATTTGTTAAATGTATAAATCCTGGGACTTCCCTTCATCATTCTGCTGTGTGCTTACTCCCTCATTTGATGGAGCTTATCCCTCAGTAACTTCCTCAGAAAGGGTGCTTGTGAAATAGATATTTTTAGACTCTATAGCTATGTATATATTTACACTCACGTTTCGTGTATAGTTTGGCAAATTCTTCACTTGTAAGATGGTAGTAGATATTGAGTATCTCCAGGTTGTGGTGAGAAGTAAGAGAAATCATATAAAGTGGTTAGCGTTCTTTGAGGAGAAGTTATTCTTACTTTGCAAGGATTGAAAAATATAAAATAAGGGTTGTTGGGAAGCAGTTGAGTACAGTGGCCAAGAGCAAGGCGTTGGTGTTGGTTGGGGCTAGTTTTGAGTCTTATGCTCTGTGACCTAGTAACTCTATGACCAAGAGAAAGCAAATCACTAAAGCCTTAATTTCCTCATGTAAAGAATGGAAATTGTCATAGTACCAACTGCTCATGCAGCTGTTGTGTGGAAAATCAGGTACATTGCTCTTAATACATAGTAGGAATTATTGACGTAGGATAATGTCCCCAGTGTTTCCAAATGTTGGCTGTGGCTTGGTATGGTAGGAAGAGCAGTGTCTACCCTGAACTTGTCTTTATGTCCGCTGAGGGTGAGAGTGTCTAGAGCTGGGTAGGCAAATGGTAATTTGCAACATGTTATCAAGAGTTCTGAGAGGGATACCTGCATTCTGACCCAGCAATTCCAGCTGCTGAGAATTTAGCCTAAGGAAAGAAGTAAGGTTGTGCCTGTATTTCAGTGCAGGTCCTCCTTGTTCATGAGGAAAAAACCGGGGAACCACTTCAGTGTCAGGAGGGAGCTTGATCAATACATGGATCTACAAGCTATAGGATTCCTCCCGTGGAGTCCTCTTAGCCTTTACAACTGAGAAAGACAGCAGTCATATATCAGGAGAGCTGTGCAGGATACAGGATGATACATTGTTAGGGTGAAAAAGTGAGTATCAAAACAGCATGAACCCTTCTGAGGGATGGGGGTAACATTTGCCATTTTATTTATTTTTTAAGGTACATAAATGTACAGATGATTGGAAAGATGTACAAACAGATGCTGTAGAGCCTAATGGTCAAAGCACAGCCTCTGGCATGTAGTATCAAGATCCTGGGTCTGGCAATACAAGACTGAGGGCAAGTTCCAGAACTGTGCTATATGCCTCAGCCTCCTCATCTGAAAAGTGGGGCAACAATAGCTGGGATGCTTGTTTAGAGTAAATGAAATCAGACATGAAAATTCCTTACTAAGAGTAAGCACTTGGTGAGTGTTAGCAGCTCTCACTGCTATTCAACAATTAATTCTGGGATTATAGGTTCACTTATCTTCTTATTACTTCTCTGTGTTGTCTTAATTGTTACTTTAAAATAGAATTGTTCAAAAAATTGTTTTTTGAAAATAGAAAAAAAGGTTTTTTAAAAATATGCAAACCTTAAGGTAACAAAGATGACTCTAATTTGTTTAAAACATCATCTTAGAACAACAATGTGAATGCACTTAATGCCATTGAGCCATACACTACAATGGTTAAGGTGGTAAATTTTATGTGTAATATACCACAATTAAAAAAACCCACCAACATCATCATCATCAAAAATAGTAACAACCACCAAAAAAATTCAACATCATCATCAACAAAAATAACAACAAAAAAATTAATAAGCAAAGAAGAAAGTTCTGAAGGTGTCCCAGGGACTATTAGCAGTGATGAGATGGGATTGTTTTCTGCCTTATAGATAGTACTTTAGAGCCTGGATTTCCTTCCGTGAATACTTCTTAGTTCTGTAACTAGTGAAGTTGCTTCTCGGTGTTTCCTCAGAGCCCAGCTTCCAAGTCCGAGCAGTGCGGGTTGAAGCCTAGCCCCACGACCTGCCTCGGGTGTGACCTTGGCCCGCCTCAGCTCCAGCTCCCTCCCCGGGCGCTGCGAGCCTCAGTTTCCCGAACTGGGATGACAGTTCATCCCATCCCCCGCCCGGCCCCGCCCGCGGCCCCGGGATTGGCTCGCGCATGGTCCCCCCTCGAGGCGGGG